ATCTCTCCAGCTAGACTGGATCTCTGTGTTTCTCTTGAAGAGCGTGCCAACTGCTGTTTAGCTGCCAAAGCTCTGGTCAGTCCTATAGCCCCCACTCCCACATCACACCAAAGTAACACCACTTCAATTCAGTTTTCAATTATCTTCTCTGCCTTAAATCCAAAGGATCAAGTAATGCCCCATTAGATTCAAAGATATCTACCATTCTTTTCCCAACCCAAATAACTCAATCCAAGACTGAGCAAACAGGATTTGTTGTGCACTTGTTTTGTGGGTTCTCCTCTCAGGTATTTATTCAATAAAGTAAATCAACAACTTTTGACAGAAATGCTTGATGGGAAAATTCCAGCTATATAGTTTTTTTTTTAAGTTTGGTTTAGTTACCTTGTCTTCTATTATTTTGTTAAATGGTGTATTGTTCATTTATTTTTACCCTTAAGAGGTGCTATTTTAAGAATTTACCTTGTAAACACAACTTCCTTTTCTGGTCTGTGTTCCGACAGTCAGATATAGACCCCTGAAAAATGTATACAGACCCTAGGTCCAAGGTAGCAAATTACTAAGATGTATTGTCTAACCCTGTAATAACCTCTATTAGCAACATACATGTCAGAATTTTAGAGTCAAAATACAATTTATTTTTAGATAGTGTCCTCCCTAAGAAAAGCACAAACTGCTATAAGACTGAGAAATAACAGTATGCAGAGTCAGCTGGATGCAGCAATTCTTGAGTAAACAGAAAGAGGAACATGCACAAAAATAAAGCAGGTAACAGAAAGATATAACAAAAGGAATGGAGATGTAAGCAGATTATAGTGAGCAGAAATACTAATCAAACCATATTAAGTTCTTAGTCAGTTAGAGTGAACACAAAGTTATAATCATATCCGATTGCAAAGAATTTTTAAAATCTGATAAACTTTTCATCATTTATGCTGTTTGTTTAGTTTCTGAATGTCTCTCATCCTACACAGTGAAAACAGAATTCTCAGTTTCACTTTGTCTTATGGTTAGATTACTGTTTTCAGCAGTACCTCTTTCTGGTTGCGTTACACAATGGAATATAGTCATCATAGTTTGGGTTCACAGTGCAGTGGAATGTTTAAGTTGAAAAAAACAGTTGGGAGAAATAAACTTTCCCCTTTTTCCACTTAGATGAAAAAAAAGTATTTCTCTTCATATTGTGTAAAGGAAGCTGATGGTGACTTCTGTATTAAACAGTAAAGCACTTTTTGATAGTAATGTGACAAAATAATTCTTTGCCCTTGTATACTGGAATTTAAAGTGATCTACAAATATTCCCTAAGCCCAATGCCCTTTACATAAGAATTATTATCCACAATTTACAGAAGAGGAAACTGAAACTTAGGATACCAGGTTCCTTTCCATTTCTATGAATGGAAGCCTGAACTCCACATTTTTGAGCTAAAAGTGACAAGAAAGTGCAGGGAGCAAGCTTCAAATCATATTAATCACTTTCCTGCAATCTTCCAGATCTGCAGGTGGGGAATGGGTCAGCTGAATGAGGCTAGTGACCAAATATATGAAGAATCTGTGAAGGTTCTTTCCTATGAGCCCACAGGGTAAATCGACACAAGTTAATGAGTCTGCAGTAACTTGTGTGAGTTCTTGGGTAATATTTTCAAAACTGCCTAAGGGCTGGATCCTCAAAAATATTTAGGCATCCAACTTCCATTGATTTCCATGGGAATTTGACACCTAAATACTTCTGAGCATCTGCACCTGAGTGACTTACGAGCCTAGGGCCACATCTACAATAAAGACTTCTGCTGGCATAGCTATGTTGGTCAGGGATGTGATCCCTGACTGACATAGCTGTGACAGAGACACCCCAGTGGAAACAGCAAAACTGCATTTTTATAAATATAACTTGTTTTGCTTGGAGAGGAGGTGGAATAAGCTATACAATAAAAAGCATAGCTTTGCCCATATAAGTGCATCCACACTAAGAATGCTTTGCCAGTGTTCCATGTATAGATATGGTCAAAGTTCCACTGGCTTTCAGTGGGACTTAACACCAGCTGAGGATCTGGCCCATGTTTGAGTAAACATCTTTTAAATTAATTTTAAGTCTAAAACTTGTTGACTGTCCCGCTCTTGGTAGAAAGGTAACAATGTTGTACAGAACAATGTTCAGAAACATAGCTGCTAACAAACAGATTCTTAAACTAATGCAAGGCCTTGTATTGCGAAATAGAATTAAAAAAAATCTAAACTCTGATTCCACAAACACAATGTACACTCAGTCCTCTGGAGCACTTTTCATTACAAAAGCGAAACCAAAAACACAGTTTGAAAGCCAGCATCAATGAGTTATATAAGCCAAGTTGAATTAAGAAAGTGGAAAGCCTGAGCTAGAGAAGAAACAAAGAACAAGAAAGCCGATCTCACTTCCCTGTGTACTGCAAACCCATCTCTCTTTACCAAATACATCTTTCTTTAAAGGCACTTTCTAACAGCAAACCTGACAGAGAAAATTGCCATCAGCAACTACTGGCAGCCAAAGAATATTGAGCTGGTCTCCAGAGATATGAATTCCAGTGCACAAATTATTTTACACTGGTCTAAAAAAGTCTAGTTTTATGTCTCTGATCACCAGATATTCAGCAAAGAATGCTTCTGCTGCTGCATCCCACTGCAGAGAACACAGTGATGTTTCTTTTGAAGCATCATGTTTCCATTGGCTTACTGGTCTTTACAAGTGATGTGACACTGATGGTGTGTTTTGAGCCAATGTACCTCTGTTTTGTTGCAAAAGTAATTAAAGAATATGTAGGGACCTTTTGAATCCACTTTTTTGTTTTTTAAGATTTGCCAGCAATGCTGACATTTCATGGATTCCAGTTACAAAGCTGGATTATAAAACACAATGCACGTACTTTGAAAATTACAAATTAAAAGTTTCACTTATCCCAGCAGTGTTTTAAAAAACAATAGAGTTAAACTACAGAGTAGGACTTTACAGTCTCAAGGGGAACTTTTCAAAGATTGAAAGACAATGGGAGTTGGTACTTAACTCTGATTTGGTGCCTTTGAAAATCTCCCCTTTAGTCAATGGCACTGCTATGCAAGGAATTTAGCATGCCATACCAAATGCTCTTAGATACTGAGGTGCAAATCCTGTTCTCATCACCAAGCCTGAGTACAGGTTAACTGCAAGGGAATCAGGTGAGGAATCCCATTTGTCTACACTTCAAAGAAAAAACAAAGATACCAAGTCTCAGAGCCCAGGTCTGACTTGGGATTGTGGGGCTTGGACTGCAGTGCTAAAAATATCAGTGCAGACTAGGGTTACCATATTTCAGCAAGCAAAAAAGAGGATGGGAGGAGCCCCGCCCTAGCCCTGCCCCTGTCCTGCCCTAGCCCCTGTCCTGTCCCACCCACTTCCCGCCCCCCTCAGAACCCCCAACCCTCCCCCCCGCTCCTTGTCCCCTGACTGCCCTCTCCTGGGACCCCTGCCCCTAACTGCCCCCCAGGAC